TGTGGATCTCGTACAAGTCCTCCAGGAGCCTCGTCCGTGTGGATCTCGTACAAGTCCTCCAGGAGCCTCGTCCCATGGTTGAATCCAGAACTGTCTGGGGCTGGCTCGCCTTCAGCGGGTGTCTGGCACCTTCCTGGACTTGAGAGTCACTGGGGGATATTAGACTCGGCGGACCGTGGCTGGCAGAGGGAGGTACAGGGGGCGGCCAGGCCAGGCTGGGCAACAGGTGGACACAGCCTCTATTCTCTGTCCACCTCCACAGACAGCCGCTGCTGTGAAGTTCTCAGAGGACTGGGGCAGTCTGGCAACCACTGAACACCATTCTGAATATGATGGGGTTTGAGGGCAGCAAGGTGACTGGGTTAGGAGGTGCTCCATGGCTGCTTCCCTCCACCTGTCCGCCCATGGGGGTCTGGGCAGGGTGGGGGAGCCCCCATCTCCCGGCAGTAGTAGCTGACGGCCCTCTGCTCTGCAGGTGGTGCGCCTGACGTGGTGGGCCGTGTGCCGGGACTCCGTGTACTACACACTCTCCGTCATTGTGCTGATTGCTGTAAGTGAACAATACCTGCACCCTGCTGTCAGGGTGGCCAGGACCTGCTATATCCCCAGGACCCTGGCCATCTCCACCCCGGGCCAGAACCCCGCGGCTCCCCTAGCATGGCCTGCATGTGCTGGCCAGACCACCCCACCCCCAGCCCCTGTGTCTCCCTTCCCAAACTCTCATCCCTGACACCTTGTGTACGTACACAGCAGCCCCCGGAACCATCTGGAAAGCCAGGCTGTGCGGCTAAGCTCAAGCACCCTGCTCCTCCAGGCCCCTCAGATCCCCGCTGACTCTGGGAGGAAGGCTCGGCAACAACGTGCAGGCTACAGAGTCCACACAGGCCTGCCTGGGGCTCTCCAGTGTGGGGGCAAGCTGCCCCGAGGGCCTGTGCCCCACCCCACCCCAGGAATTAAGTATTTGTTAGAACTACATCAAAAACTTTGTTTTTGCAAACTGGAATCGGACGGCTCATATCATTATTTAGCTGGGCAGTCAAATCTTGAGCCAAATGTGGGAATAACGAATGGGCTGGGATTGCTGCCCAAGGTTCCAGGCTATCTGGCACCTGTGGTCCTCGCTGACTCTGAAAGCCAGGAGCCCTGCTACCCCAGCCCAGGAATGAGGCCCTCTCCTTCCCAGCGAGATGTCCTCCTCGAGGACTGGCTCCCCAGTAACACGGCCAAAGCGAGGCAGATTCTAAGGGACATTCGGGCTGTTCCTCCGAGCCGGCTGTGTTCATTCTACCGACAGCCCACGGTCCAGCTGGTGTTCTTCACCAACGCTGTACGTCCGTGACGGCCGTCAGTCCTTCTTTCTTCCTGATTCAGGGTCCAGCTCTCACGTGGATATGAGGTGACGGAAAACACCAAGGCTTTGGTCAGGCACAGCCCTGGTCCTCAAAGGGAAAGCTTTGCTTTTTTGGACATTTTTTCAAAAGCGGGCTTTTGCACCAGATCTGCCCGATGCCATACATCTTTTGATTTCTTGGCTGCTGCTTCTGGGGGCATTGATTGTGGATCCAAGTAAAATGCCGTGCTTGGTAACTTCTGTTGGCCGTAATGGAGTGGCTGTGTTCTTGTGCTGAGGTGTCATTCATGCTGGAGGCTGTAGTCCTTGACCTCCCTCAGCAAGTGCTTGGAGCCCGCTTCACTTTCAACCAGCAAGGTGGTCCATTTGCATATCATCTGCATATCCCCTTTCTCCAATCCTGACGCTAGCTTCTTCTTCATGTTAGTCCAGCTTCTTTGATGATGTGCTCAGCATACAGAGAATCGGGAGAAGACACACTCTGACACGCACCTTTCCTGATTTTAACCCGCGTGATTTCCCCTTGTTCTGTTCAAGCCTCTTGATCTATGTATAGCAGTGGTTCTCCACCTTCCTCATGCCGCGGCCCTTTCATACAATTCCTCATGTGGGGGTGAGGATTTTGCTACTGTTATGAATCATAATATAATTATCTGATATGCAGGATGTATTAGGTGACCCCTGTGAACGTGTTGTTTGACCCCCCAAAGGGGTCGCGACCCACAGGTTGAGAACTGCTAATGCAGAGGTTCTGCAGGAGCACAAGGAGGTGTTGTGGAATCCCCATCCTTCACAATAGTAGCCATCTATACAACGTACATGTTTGTTGACATCTTTTCCACTTTTGAGATTTCTTGAATTTTGCAACTGTGTTCTATAACTGAGGAGAGGGGCCTGCCGGGTGGGCTCCCTTTAGTCCACTTCCTAGGCGCTAACAAAGCCCACTAAGCTGGGGCCCCGCGGCGCAGGGTTCTGCTGGCCCTGAGTTTCTGTAAAGGGAGATAAGCCTGGGTTCTGTAAAGAGAGGGGGACCTGCATGCCTTGGTTCCGCATGCTAACCAGTTCCCGTGGAGTCAGCTCCGGCCCAGGCTGAGCCCTGGGTTCAGAGTGGAACTGACTCTGAGGAATTTTCAGTAGCTAATGTTCAGGCAGTGGGTCACCGGGTTCCCCCAGGTGAACTTGAACCTCCTCCGACCGGTGGACGTCACCTCCGCAGAGTTAGGGGTCTGCCTTCGTGACTCATTTGCATTCAACATGCCCCTCCTTGTTTCTCTTGCCTTCCAGTTCATCTACGACGAGGAAATTGTATGGTAAGTTCTTCACCTTTGCTTTTCCACTGTTCTTTGCTGTTGTCAGTTTACACTGGGGTTCATTGTTGGGTTCATTGACTCCTCATTGTTACTTTTATAAGCATGAACTTATGGAGCAGATAGAAGTAGAAATAGCAGCATCGTACTGTGCTCTGCCCTCCTGTGCTCTGCCCCTCCACTTCACTAGGCAACCATACCTTTCTTTATCCTAACGAAGCAACAAACACCGTATCCTCTAAGACTCTAGTTATATCATAAAACTAAAATGGCTAAAAAGAAGGGAAAAGGATGTTCATTTGCACAGGGATAAGCGTAAGACAGGTGGGACTGTGCAACTGAGAAGCCACGAATGTGCCCAAGAGTCTAGGGGGCACGGGGATAAGACAAGCTATCACAGCAATGCAGTCAGGCAGGGGTGAGGAGTCTCACATACTGTGGAACCATACCACAGAAAACAAAACCGGATCCCTCCCTCACACCGCATACAAGAAGACGTCCCAGGCAAATGAAAGACCCGTCCAAAGCAAACATTTTTAAAAGCGAGTAACTTAGAGCAAAACACAGGGACTGGCCTTGACGCCGAGTTAGGGAATTTCTCTTCCATGAAGATGCCAAAAATGCACCAACTTCCGCAGACAAGGCGGACAGTCCCGTGTGGTAGGGCGTGAGTGCGCGGTGTCATCAGCAGCCACACGAATGTCTGGTCTTGGGTGGCAAGGCAGAATCTACAGCCTGCACGTGCGTGCCGTTGCTGCTGTGGTCCGGCACTCCTGGGGACCCTGTGTCCAGCAGAATGAGGCCCTTCCCGGTCCTGTGCCGGCTCACCGTGGGTCTTCTGTGGAACCCGGGCCTGCATCAGCAGTGTGAATCCATTTCCTCAGGGCCTCCCTCCTGTGCTCTGCCCCTCCACTCCACTAAACAGGATGTCTTCCCCAGGGACTGGTCCCTCCTGAGAGATAGCGCTGAAGTACACGAGACGTGTCCGGCCGTCCTGGCTTCTCAGGAGTGACTGTGCTTCTTCCAAAGCAGACATGTTCTTTCAGCAGCCCGTGGTACTTTCAGTGTTCTTCGCCACCTGATTACTTAGGACAATGGGCACTGAGGACTTTCTGCTCCCTGGAGGGAGCGGCTGGTCCCTGACTATGTCCCAGGCTTGTCCCCGCCCTGGGGAAAGTCTCTCCGCGTCTCTGGGTCTCGTTTTCCCTGCTGTGTGCAGGGTTGGATGCTGCGTCCTCACAAAAATTAAACACCACCATCATTTGCCATGGGTCCGTCCCGATTCGGGGAGACCCCAAGGTGTCTGAGTAGCCCTGCTCCCCAGGGACTGTGTGGCCATGAGCTTTTGGAAATGCATAGCCAGGCTGCAAGAGGGTCATGAGAGTGTCCCAGCAAGACCCCCGGACCCACTGCCCTTGCATTGACAGACCCAGAGCCCCCGCTCCAGGGTGGAACAGAGCTGCCCCCAGAGGGTTCCCAAGGCTGTAAATTGTTCTAAGTGTACAAACGGCCTCATCTTTCTCCCATGACGCAGCTGGTGAGTTCGAACCACTGGTTAGCAGGCAAGCAAGGATCAAGCCTGTGAGACTCTGGGCTTCACCTGCCCTGAACCTTGGGGTGCAGTGACCCTGGCTGCTCCTCTCTCTCACCCCTCATTCTCACTAATCAGGAGAGAGGAGAGTTGCCTCAGCCCTCCGGACCACCTGTAGGTGGGTAGACCCCCTTCCCCACCTCCTTTCTCAGTCACCCAGAGGGCTTCAGATGGGGCCAACCACGGGCTGGGCACAGACAAACAAAGAAACCCCATCCTCCTCCACTCCAACCTCATGTGCAGCAGAGGGTGGGGGCAAGGGGCTCCCCGACTCTAACCACAGTCCCGTTTTTCTCTTTGAGGTGGGAAGGCTTGGTGCTCATCATCTTGTATGTGTTTTATATTCTGATCATGAAGTAAGTGCCCTGCTTCTCCGTCTCCTTGTGGGGCTGCCCACGCCTTCTGCTGTTTCCACCCCTGCTGGCCAGCCCCAGGTCCCGGGTGGGCAAAACCCTGGGGACAGCCAAAGTAGAGGAGAGATATTCAGGCACCGTGGGCACAGCTGATCACAGCCAGCCTGCGGCGTCACGCTGGGGTGGGCGGGGGTGGGGTGAGGTGGGGGGCTGCTTTGAAACCAAGATGCAGGAAGGACCTTGGCATCCTCCCTGCTGGGGCGGCCCCTCCTTCTGTCTCTGAATCGCCACACATCACTGTGCAGGTTCAGAGGCGTGGGGCACCACTCACAGTATGGGGTGTCAAGGCCAGGATCCCTCAGGGAGCCCCCTCAGATTGTATCCATTGCCTCACCTCTCCACGGGCAGTTGCCAAGAACAGCTACCCCCACCCCGACAGTGTTTTATAAAAATGGGCGATCATCTACTGGATGGCCAGAGAACTGCCCTTCCGTGGTGTCTGAGTGCCTGTCCCCGAGGCGTCTAGCCCGAGGAGCTTTGAGGTAGAGCGAGACTCTCAGAGAGATTGGCTAGGCCGGGGTTGCACCTCTCTCGTGTCCTGGCCGAAGTTCTTCTATGAGGACCCACTTGTAACCCTGCAGGAAGCAAACATAAGTCATTTCTTGGGGCTGCAGTCCTCTTATCCCTGCCTCCCCCCGCCCCCCAGAAAGCCCACGAACAACCCAAAGGAGAGGCCCTCACGTACTGCTTGTCATTCCACCTGTCAGTTCAGGTGGAAAACCCCCCGACGGCCACCTGCCTCCCGGCAGGACACTAACAGGGCTGGGTGGCCTGGCTGAGGCATGGGGGTGGGGTGGGGGTGGGGGGGAATCCCAGCAGACATCCCCACACCTAGGTCCATGGGGCTGCCCTGACTTCCTGTTTCGACCCTTGCAGGTACAACGTGAAGATGCAAGCCTTCTTCACGATCAAACAAAAGACCGTTGCCAACGGCAACCCGGTCAGCAACGAGCTGGGGGATGGTAATGATTACTATGACCTTCACCATGATGACCCCTCTGTGCCATTGCTGGGGCAAGGTAAGGCTGAGCAGACAGGAGGAGTGCAAACACGGTCCCGAAAGCTACCCTCTCCTCTCTCGAGGACACACACGCACTCACACACCCCCACACACATATCCCGCGCATACCGCCCAACGGTCACTCCCTCGGCATTTGTTGTCAGCGGCCGTCAGCTCAGACTCCACTGGCCCGCTGTCCAGTCCTGCACCGTCCCCGTGATCTGTTGTGGATTACAGCAGAGCCTCGTGACCTATGAGATTGCCATGGGCGGGAGCTCAGAGATCGGTCAGCAGCCCTTCCTCAAGTGTCTTGGTCTGGAAGTTCTGTTGAACCCTGGTTAGAAGCTGAGCCACAGACAGACAGACCTCCACAGACATTCAAATGGCGGCTGTGCTGAGGTGCACTGACTGGGAATCGGACTAGAGTCGCCCAGGACAAGAATTCCACCACTGAGCCCTCGCTACACCCCCGCTGTTGGGATTTACCATTGGTCCCTGTGTTAGTCCGGGTAGACTAGAGAAACATATCCAGAGGCACTCGTGTGTGTACAAGAAAGAGCTTTATATTAAAGAGTAATTGAATATTGAGAAAGCATCCCAGACCAGTCCGGATCAAGTCCATGAGTCCGATATTAGCCCATATGGCTGATACCAATCTATAAAGTCCTCCTCAGACTCATGAAACGCATGCAGTGAAGCCAAATGCAGGACGATCACAGGCCAGTGGGTGGGAAGTCCTGTGATACAGTGGCGTTATAAGAATCTCAGCGCTGGCAGAGGTTTCCATGTGGCTGCGCCAGCTCAGGGCTCTAGTGTAGCTCCATGTGTCTTGTCAGCTGCTATGTCTCCCAGGGAGTGAGCTGAGGGAGACAGAGTGTCTCCTGCACTCAAAGAGGAGATACCAGAGTTCCCAGAATCCTCAGGAAAAGGCCACACCCACACAGAGGCCTCCTTGACTATATCCTGATTGACAGGCTTGACTCCACCCTTACTCTCTTCATCCTCAAATTGACACCAGATGATGTAACTGCCGCAGCACCTGAATGAGCAGGGTTTGAGGTGTTGCTCGTCCTGGCGTTTTGCTTCAGTGGAGGAAGGACAGAGGGAAGGAGGTAGACAGGAGAGCAAACAGACAGACAAAAAGCCATCCCTGGGACTTCCCCAAACTTCCTGAGGAAGGCTCAAGGCTGTAGTTGGCTCCCCCGACCCATGCCAAAGGCTGGCGTGGGCAGCTCCAGGCTCCCGACTGGCAGACCAGGCCTCAGGCTCTCCTGTCACTTCTGGTGACCAGGGCCAGTCAGGAGGGACCCACTGGTTCCTGGGCTGGGAACAGTTGCCCAGGGATCAGCTTAGAGCCCCTTGCCCTGGGGGAGGACAGCCTCAGCTCTTCGCCCCCACATCTGTGAACTGGAGACCTGGACTCCAAAGCCAGCCTCTGCCTTTCCCTGTACCCAGTCACTCATAGTGTTTCTAGAGGACAGAGCAGAGTTGCCCCAGAGGGTTTCCAAGGTGGTCACCCTAACGGAAGCAGACTGCCCCATCTTTCTCCCTCCGAGCAGCTGGTGGGTCCAAACTGCAGCAGTCTCAGTTAGAAGCTGAGCACCGAAACCACTGCATCCCCTGGGCTCCTTCTGTCATCTCTAGAGGACCCCACATTATCTTGTCCTGACTGGCTGCTTCCTGGGACGAACCTTGCCCTGGCTTCTCAGCGATCCAG